GCCTTCTTTCTTTGCGTGAACATTTGGGCGGCGTTATGCAAATCTCACATCGTGACGTAGACATGTGGGGGCGTGTTAGAACAAGCCGTTTTAGGTAGGCGTGGCTGACTCTTAACTTTTAAAAAGAACATCTCTTTGGATTTGAGACTTTAGTCTTTGCAACTTTACAGATCTTCTTTATGCACCAAGAGCTTGTAATACTCCAACGAGAAAGGAAAAATTTAAATCGCATCATAGGACCCCTTTAATGCTATGTAACTTACATTTTAAACAGTCACCTTGTCTATTTTTGATCTGACAATGCAAATAGTTCCTACATACCCAAAGTAGTGACCATTGCGTGCCTTTAAGCTACAGTTTAGTTTCAGAATTAATCTGTTTTAAGAATGAATCACTGCATGGAAATTAACTGCTTCCGCAAGAATAAAGACTGCACCAACAATTGTCATAAACACCAGCAATTACTCTAAAACCAATAATGGCATTCAAGAACCACATACGGCATACAGCAAATATGCACCTCTGAGAGGTATATACATCAATGTTCTGCTTACCTCTTTGCTTTGGGCATTGACACTGGGCACAGTTTCTGTTGGTCCAATGGTACTGGGAGGGCCAGTGAAATTCCATTCATTAACTGGAGGAAAAGGTTCCCTGGTTTTAAGGCTTGACGGCTCTATGGGCTTATCCTCATTATCCCGGAGGCTCACTTCATAAAATTCCTGGATATCTGAAAGAATTATGAGGTTACATAATGAAATGCATGTAATTAATAAGCCACCAACAGAACTATAATCCCTACAAATGTTTACAGAATCAAAGTCAGAATCAAAGATACAAACTTTTATGAAAATGCAGATTTCACATTATTTGCACTTTGATGCCTTACTAGAACAAATTTAAACCCATTTTGCAGGTACTCATTTACATGGCCATGTGTAAATAGATAATGAGATCCGTAAAAACATGAGCAAGTGTAAATACATTAATGATGTTTAACCTCAAAATTACAACCTGTATACGGCTTGAAGTCCTAACATTGCAAGACCGGAATTTGTTGTAGCCTGACTCCTATCTTACGTAACAATGATAAAATTACTGATAAAATAAGTACTAGTGCAGCCAGAGTTCATTTAGGTGTAGATTTCAGATAAGCCAAGCCCAAATTGAATTCAGACAGCATCAGTCTTACTCTTTCGCTATCAATCACTACAATGAGTCAGTGGCGTCATACTCGTTTTGTGTGTGTGTGTCTGGATCTAATAATTTATTCAGAAATACATTAAACACATACAAATGATGACTTGAATACATGTGCTCCTTTTTAAATTACAGTTCAGTTGTATATTGTTCATGAGTCATCAAGTCAAAAAGTCTAGCTAGTGTATCAGTAAAAGTTTAGTGGTGGTAACCAGATGGCTGCTGGTTGGTGCAACGGACCACTTGAGAAAGGCATGTTGCTCTGGGGTGATTGTCCTTACAAATACAATACAATACACTTTTTACAAGTTGTTTTGGATAAATGCATCATGGATAAACAGTTATAGACTACTGCTACTAAATTTTACACCAAAAATAATGACTGCACCAAGAAGGAGTCATCTATTGACCATTACACTTTCTTCAATACGACATTACAAAATTTTATTGAAAAAGCAAATTGCATTCATGTTTACATTTTCTAAAAGTATTGCACACCATGTCTACCCACACATAGCAGCAAACATGTATGGAACATACTGAGGATTTCTGTGTGCAGTGGAGTGAGATTCTGATTAAATCATGTTTAAAAACAAATTTTCAGAGATACCGCTGTCTCCATAAATGTTTTCAGTCAGATGGACAAATAATAACACCATGAAGCATGAATACTCTTTATGGTTGTAAACAGCACTTCCATGGATTCATGAAGAGTCCAGGCCAAACTAAACGATGGGAGTTTAAATCGTGGAAAAATAATGGTAGGGATGCGCTGAGTTGTAACCGTCTGTGCACAGCAAAACATTAACTGAATAGAGCAATGATGCATTTCAAATGCCTCTTAATTAAGTACTAAAAGACTTTAGTAAGTATGCACAACGGTGCTTTGATTTGTCCAGTGGGGGATATAAGGATGTTCTAAATTACAATAGGGTAGGCCATACTACACTCTAAAAATCTGTTAAAATGTGGCACAATGTACTGTATTATTATGATCCATATTGATTTTTTACAAGTGTTTTATCTGTATTTTGAATTTTGCACTGCATTGCATTGTGTTTTAGTTAACGGAAATGTCTGTAATATTGATGGATAAAGTCCTGGCAGAAAATTACCAGTACATTTTCCATTTTTAACAGTATAGACAGTTTACAACAGTCACAGATTCATTACAAAATCTATTTTTTCAAAAATATCACACCACAACCTTTTTTGAAGATGCCCACTAATGTAAGTGCAAAGAGCAGCCAGTATAAAACAAATATACAAAAACATTTCAAGTTCTTTTTATAGCTATTTCTGGATATGTTCTGTTGGCCTTTTTTAACAGTAAAAAGCTTATCACCACCACTTTCCTCTTCCTCTTCTTGATCTTAATTGCATATCCATTTTTAACAGTATAGACAGTTTACAACAGTCACAGATTCATTACAAAATCTATTTTTTCAAAAATATCACACCACAACCTTTTTTGAAGATGCCCACTAATGTAAGTGCAAAGAGCAGCCAGTATAAAACAAATATACAAAAACATTTCAAGTTCTTTTTATAGCTATTTCTGGATATGTTCTGTTGGCCTTTTTTAACAGTAAAAAGCTTATCACCACCACTTTCCTCTTCCATTTGATCTTAATTGCATAAACTCCCAAAAGAGCCTGCTTAAAAGAGAAACTCAAAGGATTTTCCCAAATTGACAAATTTACTTGAAATTACTGCACATATAACACTATTTGGACTACATTCCCAGCAAATACAAGCCCAGGGAAGCCAAGCCTAGGGAAAAATAGGTCAAATAGATTAAATATTTTACAACCAAGCATTAAAAAAAAACGAACAGAACTTTCCATTCCTAAAACTTTTCAACTTTTTATATTTTAAGTGTCTTTTAGGAGAAAAACTAAATATTTAAATTGCAATGTGCAAACACTTTATTTGCAGTAGAATAAAGGGGGGG